AAATTGTGGGGAATTTCATTTATATTGGGGATTTTGTGGGGATTGGCGGTATGTGAGGAAAATGTGGGGATTCTAACATTTTATCATTTTGTTTAATCTATCAATTGCTGGTGCATCGCTAGTTTGATCGTTACTGTTAGAAACACTGTGATGGACCATATCGACGTGTTTTTCAACATCGCACATCACTCGTATTATTAACAAGCAGGTTAAATATAATTATTATTAGAGCACTTGGTTCTGAATTGTAAAATTACCAGTCGGTGCGTGTTGAGTTCGCGATTCTTTCTCCCGCTTAGGCCGGTCCCCGGCATGAAGCAAAACGAAATCAGCAGCTATTGATAAACAAAGCCGAGCAGTTGGTACTTCCACACCACAACTTACCACTCGTCAACTTTAAATATTAAATATAAGTAGGTCGAAACTCATTGATTATTTCTAACATTAACATAATGTCACAAAATGCACAACAAATCTATCAATGGAATCGAATAATGTTATCGTCGATTTTTTTAATTTATTATTTATAAACATAACAGAATTTACATGAGTGTAATATAATTGGAGAGTGCCCTAAAAGTTAATTTTGGATCGAAAATGGTTTATTTGAAAAATACGGGATTTTAGATCCGAGAAAACAATTTCCAAAGTAAAGATCTACTTTTGCTATCACCGTGATTTAAATTTTACGATACGAAACTTCAACTGTACGTCTAAGTAAACCACCAGCTAGGTTAATTAAAAGAAAAGACACATCATACTTTGTATAATTTATTTAATTAATGAAAAATTAATTCCGCTAATTATAACAGAAATTAACAGCAAGCGGAAAATACAATGACGTTTTTAAATAAACATTTTATAACTTATCATTTATGGCACATGGAACATATTTGTTCGTTAATAATTTTCACCTCTTGAGAGGTACAATACGCTGCAATAAAATTAAAATTTTTCGATTTCTTTCTGTAAACTTTTGCGGTTATTATTTCCACTCGAGTCAATGCACATGGCGTACTTTATACGCACCGACGACGCGCAGATGACGCGCGTAAAAGCGATTCAAACGCAATGTCGCGTTTTTTACTCGCTATAAACTTTTACACACGTTCGCAAATGCAGTGGCGCCGTAAACGCGCGTCATTTGCGCGTATATGCGCCACAGACGCACGTATGTATCATGCATTTTGATAAGTGACACTTTTAATTTTAGTTTTGTTTATTTATTTCAGTTAGTTTTTGAAATGAAGCAACTACGTGAAATTCTATGTGTAAACTCCAGAGGAGTATATACGCTTCTTGCTTGCAACGCGATGTTTGCGCGCGTTTGAATCGATTCAAGCGCGCGTAACACGCGATACAGGTGAGCTTCTCGCGCGCGTCTGTATCGTATCCATACAAATGCAACAATCTGCTCAAAAGAGCCTCTACGGCACGGCGCATATAAAATACGCCATGTGAATAGACTCTTAGGGTGCCTTCAAATTGCTCGCTTATAGTGCTGCAGTGGCGCCACAAATTTTCATACAACATTTAGAAGCCAGTTGCAGCGCCATTGTCGTGACACGCGCGCGCTTCTTTTGCAAATCACAGAAATTACTGAAGCGTTACAGGCGCGCAGTTGCCACGCCGTTGCTATCGCGCTTCTACAAGCGTTTAATTGAGTGCGCCTTTTTTGGCGTCTGTTGTACACAATGCAGCCTCTCCAGTTGGCCCATAATTGTGATGCAATTGTAAATCTGGCTACTCGATAAAAAAATAATGCGGTAAAAAACAGGTTAACTATCGTGACAAATTAACAACCTGTTTTAAAGTATTTTATAAGAAAAATAATAGAGTAAATTTGAAAATGCTGTGTAGAATATTCCCTTAATATTGCATCTTTTTGAAACACCCTGATTTTCAAATGATTTTTTAATTCAACTAAATAATAAAATAGACAAATAGGTACACTACATATTTACGAGTAAGAGCGTTGCCACACAGGCGCTGCGTCGTCGCAACGCTATAGTTTCAACAACGTTTCAACGTACTAAGTTGCTTGTAGTTTCAACGCACCGTGAGCCACATCGTTCTGGTTTATATGTAGTACAACGCAACGCATCGTATGACATCGCTCTAATGCGAAACGGAACGCAAAATCAAAATACATACTTTTGTGTCTACAACAGGACAGATTGCACAGATAGCTATTAATCATAACAGAAATTTGTTAATACAACTATTACAATATACTTATGACTACAACTTTTTATCATTGCACGACTATTGCACTTTACAAGATGCATTTACAACAACTTATATCTTTATTCACATTTATATATACAATTTTATTACAGATTGCGAACAAGTAGCTGGTCAAATGCTAGATATATACAAAACGTGGCAGTAGGGAGAGGTAAAGAGAGAATACCTCATCCAAACTAATATTATAAATGCGAAAGAAAATTTTCATTTTCACGCCTAAACCAATGAACCAATGCTGATGAATTTTGGTATATTTAATGGGACAAACTTTCAGGACATTCACACATCATTTGATTTTCAGTTTGGGATATAATCATGTATAAAACATAGTTTAATTACCTCGTCGTTACGGACGTATTGCAACGTCAGCAAATGTAAACATTACCGAGTATCGCCCGACAAGTCGCGAGTGTTGTGAGTGTTGTGTGTCGATCTAGTGACAACCCTAGTTACAATTACAATTAACCTGATCTATACCACTGCTAGTGCACAAATAAATAATGAAGACCAAGTGAAGGTAGTTAGAAAAACTCGCATGGCTAGTAGATGCTGACACCCGCCTCTTCAGACCCTTTGAGACCATGGACGTTACGTCCGAAACGTCGAGATAATGAAAATATGTTTTATATATTCATGATTAAGTCCCAAACTAAAAATTAAATAATCTAGTGGGACATTTGAGAAGGACATAAGCTACTTTTGGTCACAAAAATAAGTCTTGATGAAATAGGGGATGAAAGTATGTATGGAGAACCAATAAAACTACGAAAATTTAATATAGTAGAGTAGGTTATACGAAGTACTTATATTACGAAGAAGTCGCGGGCACCAGCTAGTTATTATATACATTTTAACAGTGACAGTTATCGACTTGTATTTATTTACAACCAAAGACCGGAAAGGACAGAATACACATACGTAAACTTTAAGTAATACATATAGAGTGCATAACACTTCTCTCTGTATTTCCGGATCATTGTATCGTGTTTTATTCTATATTTTTTGACGTGTAACAAGCAACTGCTTTACAACGGTAGCGTGTTTAGAAGAAAAGTTTTGATATTGTGAGTAAACATTTTTTTTCAACTATTCCAGTATCTCAATTCTGTTTGTAACAGACAAAATTCCCATTCGATATATGCATGGTAAAATTAAGAAACGAACGGACCTTTAGTATAATAATAAAACCACATCTGCTAAATTACAACTTTTCAGATTCTACCAACAAAATTATTCAATAATTTTTACGCTTATATAGAAGAGTTGTAAAATACACATTTTTTTAATGTAGTTCCATTGACTTACAATTATATGGACGTCGGGTCCGCGCTAAAAAGTGTCCGAACTTATAGGGCGTTAAAATCGTATACAGAGCGTCATTCACGCTTTAGTCTTCGTTTGTTCGACTGACAGCGAAGCAAGCACAATTAGACAGTACTGCGATGACATTACAATTTAAATTCAACGTTTTAGCTTTTTCATATTCCTTTACATGTCACTACGTTTAAATAGGTTGACTTGGGACATTTTTTTCGTGGTTTTTGTATTAGACCCGTCGTTCATTTATTTGTAAGTCAAAGTGTAGTTCGTATTATTTGACTTGTGACTTTAATAAAAGTACTTTTGACGTATGATTACTTGTGACTTTATTTTATCAAGTAATTTTTATTAAGAAAAGGTGAGCAAAACCGGACTCATCCCCTAGTTTTTCACTCTTATATGGAATATTTTCTACAAATTTAAATGGGACAAATCGACGCCTTACTTTTTCAAACTCGTATCTTAAAGAGTGATTATTCAGGAGAGTGCAAATTGTGAGTGCAAACCTTTCTATTTGCTTTAAATTCCTTATCAAGGGTGCTAATTTAGATGCATTACTTTAAGAATAGGTTAAAACTAGTGTGTAAATATGAAGGAATTGTGATGTGAAATCAGACTGCAAAATTTGTTTATACAATCCATTTCTTGCATTTCAGTAACTTTGTGGTTTTAGATACGAGTTTGAGAAGGTAAGCCGACGATATGACTGCACCTTAGAATAATAACGCATAGAAATCTAGTCCGCACACGCTAAATGAGGCAAATTGAAGCGCGCCAAAAGGGCCCACACGAGCGGGCGGGCCTTCAGTGCTCAAGGTCAACTTGCACCGCGAACAGATCAAGAATTTTAGCTAAAAATGACGAAATGTGCGGTAAATGAGTGTAAAAATACGTCAGACAAACATAAAATAGATACTAACATCACAGTCCACAAGGAAGTAACGCGTTTCAACTTGTATTGTTATATAAATATTCACTAAAACCGAAAATTAACCTACTACTAAAACTAGCCTACATGAATTAGATTTTTGCCTCACTTGTGACAGTTCGTTTGATATGAAACTATCATTCTATACGTTATTATTCTAAGGACTGCACTTAAAAAAATAATTAATTTTGTGCTTTAAGTTCGCTGGTACTAACTAACCTTCCTGTGTCACAGAGATACCACTCTACTACACTGGTATCTCTGTACCACCCAAGTTATTTTGTACGGACAAGATAAAATAATATTTAACACTCAGTTGTAACAAAAATGAAAAACATAATATTAATTTGTAGTAACAATAGAGTGAAGTGAGAAGTGCACGAATTTGTTGAAATTAAGGCGACGAAATATTGAGATACCCTCATTCCAACCACAAAAAAATCCTCAAAATCGCATCACAAAAGTAATCAAGTAACATACACACATAAAACCCCTATTTTAAAGTCGGTTAATTAATTATCAATACATAGTGATAACAACAAAATTACAAAAATACAGTTTTCACCTGCTTCCATTCACATATCTAGCGTGTGACCAATTCGTTTTCTAAAATGTAATTTAAAAACAATACAACACAATTCTTCAGGTATTATTCGAAAACACAAAAATCGTATATTCTCAGGACGGGAGCGAATTTTAGAAAAACCACGACATTAATGTACAATTTTCACTAAATAACCCGAAAGTTTAAAGTATTTTTAATTTTAATAATAACATTAATCAAAAATCTATCTCGTTGCAATATTATTTAATACTTACCTAAGTGATGTAGCTGGTACAACATCGTCGTAATTATTATAAGGTGTGATTGCACGGTAACGAAAACAATATGACATTTTTCACATTACTTAAATACTTAAATATCTACTGTAAACTATACAAAAGTACTTTGAGGTATCGACGCAACTTTTCTTCACTAATTACACTTGAATCACAACACATAAAATGTTTTCGATTAGAACATCACCTGAGAAAAAGCAGCGTCGCACTGGTTTTAGTATGGCCGCCATACAGTATTACTGTCTGGTTGAGGATTGCCTCTTTGGCCAAGGTTATTAACCCTCACATCTTCACTTCTAGCTGCTGCAGCCGCGCATGAGTTTCCCCCACCGAGCAGCAAGTCCCCTTGACCATGATTGCTGTGATTATGCTGCCGATGATTGTTAGTAGTCGAAGATATTTGATCCATCATTGTCTGTAATTCGTTATGATGGTTCTGCGTCGAGTGTATAGTATTCGAATGCAGCGGGTGGAAATTATGCGTCTGATTTGCTGCCGTGTAAAGCTGGCTGTAGAGCAAACTCGCCGGCAACACGGGGTACAGAGAATTGTTGCAATTACTACTTCCATACGAGGAGTTTTGAGAGCCCATTAGGGACGGAAAGTTGGAAGTATTCGTGTTATTGTGTCCGACGTTTGTAGTAGTATTAGAAGTTAGGAGATCGTCCTGCACTGGTGATTCGGGTTGTGAGCTATTGTCGCTTAGAGACCTAGGGCCAGTTGAAAGACTGTAGTCCGTGTTGTTGTTGTAGCGAGGGATGAGACTGCCGTGGTGCGATGGTGACGAGCCCACTAACCCGGAGAGTTGCTGGTCCAGGTCGACACCAGTCGTGTCCGGGAGAACTGCACGGAAAGTTAATAGTTACGAAAGTGGATTAACATCATTTATGCTGCTATGGTTTTAATATAGCGCTGTGTTTTTCGTATGTCGCGCGAGCACGCATCGGCAATAAATTTATCGGCGGCATCGGACGGATCCGAGCTGCTGTAAATTATAATGAGAGCCGGATAATGCCCGCCGCGAGTTTCGCCGGCCGACGGACAACCAGTAAACTGCCATCACTGAAAAGTACTTCCAAAGTAATATTTTGGCACCCATCCTTTTCAAGTATCGTAGTCGCGCCTTAGTCTCGCAATAATCATGTCAGTAGCACATAATAAAATTTAAAAATGTCATCTAATATCATTTGAATTACGTATTTACAAGGATAAGATACATTTAATTTGACGATTGTGCCAGTGAATCATTGACAAATTTCTGGACATACATAGAGATATTGATAAACAACAGTCGCTCATTTCATTGCAAGTGTGGACACCGTAGGTTCCAAGGAGGATGTCGGTCGTAAAACATGTTGGTGTGTTTAATTTCACCATTCGATGAGTTATAGTCCTACCGTAAATCGATAAATTTCCCAAACAATTTCCTGGAAAAAAATCATGTTTACATTGGCCACATTTACTGTTGTACAATATACCATTTTGAGATAATGACAATATAGCTTGAGCAAAGCGTTAATAGTAATTATTGTAGAGGCTGGGACATATAATTGTATTATACTAGTCAGGAAATTCCCGTTTCCGCCGAGGCATGCATAATGCTTTTCTCAAACAATGCGAGGAAATAAATGACTAAAGAATTAATGAGAATGTATAATAGACAAAGCAAAACAAGTTTAACATGACAAATTTTAATTCTTACTATTATATGGCAGAGTACACTACGGTTCACAATTGTATTTTTGCTTTTCTCACTAGAACTCATTTTTGCGAAGAAAATATAAAAATAAAAAGTAACAACTGAGAAAAAATTCCTTCGATCCGGCCGGACTCGAACCGACGTCTTCTAGCATACCATGCCAGACGATATACCAACTAAATCACGGAACGAAGCAGCGGACCTCACGAATATTTCTATGTGCTTGTTGTCGTGACTTTGTATTTGGTTTTTCAACGACTTTTTAGTCGTAGCGCCATCTATGAGAAATCTGTGAAAGTTTTATCACCCAGTTAGATACCTTTACAGCTACCGGCCCTGGTTGAGAGATTGATGATTGGCGAGACAGTCGCTATTCATTGTATTTTAAATTTTTATTGAATTGATATTCAATTGTTTTTTTGTGAAATTACTCCACTAGTTTGTTATAATTATTAATACAAAGATCGAAAAAAATCACCATCTGATCAGATCAGATGCATGGCATTCACTAAAATTACTATAGCACTATAGTTGGCAGACTAGGCAAAGTTTCTTTGCTCTCGCGAGTTTTGTCTATATGTGCCACTACTAAACCTAGTCGGCCATATTGTTCATAATCATAACGAGACTTGTTTGTGAAATATATTTATTGGTAGTGCATTGAGGCTTTTTGACGTCTGCATGGTCGATCGATAAAAGTTGTAACACAAAAGTGATCGTAGATTGCGATCAAATTAGTCAGCAGACATTGCGATTATAGCTTATGGTAGCCCATGGCGAATGCCGTTCGCAATCTGACATTTATAGAAACATTTATAGTACACACCAGTATTGTTAGCTGTAAAGTCCTGCGTAGGTGTCTGTTCAGGCACTGTGCCGGCAAATCCGAGCGCCGGAGGGTTGAACTGTGAGGCAGCGGGTGCAGCGCACGATGGCAAGTACGCGGGATATGCGCCCGCGCCGCCGTAGCCCCAGTGTGAGTTGCTCGAGCTGAGGCCGAACTGGCTCATGTCTGTAGAAATAAGTTTAAATTAACATTTTGTTAGTTGCTTTCACTAACTATCGAAAGTCTAGAGGCTGCATCAAACATGCCCCATAATTTTTTTATGACACAAAGTGACGGGACGAACAATTCCTGGTGGTAAGTGACACGCCTGTCCATAACAGTTGCAGTACCATTCAGATCTTTAAATCACAAGAATCTAAGGGGCACTGCCACTGCGCTCGTCACCCTGATACGTACATTGACAAGTCCCATGTGCCTGTAATTTCTCCCTTCAAAACCGGAACACAGTAATGCTCAGATTACTGTGCTTGGAGGCAGAAATAGGTAAGATCTTTCACAAGGACTCTCACACACTCACGGAACTCTTCATTCATTCATGAGGATAGTGGTGGCTTGAATAACAGCTTGTATCCTACAGTTCCGGTCGATTTATAATTCTGCCTTCAACGTTGCCAACTAATTTAGTTATAATTTTAAATCTTTTATTATTGCAACTTCCATACACAAATACACTACGCACAGCACACTGCATGTGTGCAAGCCAAAAACAATAACAAACGTGAATCCTTTTATAAAGATATCGGAGGGAAAACGGCACGGCAGCGATCGCTACGTGCACTGCGTTCACTTTATTTTTTCCACAGTATTACCGGCTTTTATTTTTCGGTATCACGGTTCCGTTTTTGGCCGGCCGTCGGCGGAGTCGGTTTTTATACGATATGTGCGCGCCCGCTGAGTCGATTTGTGGATGTTTTTTCCGTTTTGAGTCGCGTGAGTTGTTTTGGGGTGGACGTGGATTTTAGCAGAGTCGGTGCATGGTTGTTCGATTGCGTCCGCAGTCAGTGCTCCTCTTTTTGCGCCGGCTGATAGAATCCGCGCTTTAGTGAACGTAGTTTAGCGTATCGCCGTACCGCGGTCACACATTCATTTTTGAACTAGACCTTTATGAACGTTTGCCGCCGCCGATTCAAATCTGTTTTTCTGAACTGTTTATAACTTTTTATAACGTCTTAACAGTTCTACAATGTACTATGGGAAAAGTATTAAACGCCCAATGTGCATTAAAATGTATGCAACGTATGCCCTCGGTCATACATGCAAAACATATTCTTCTAGATACGCTTTGGTTATATAGAATAGCTCTAAATTTGGATGCGATAGTGTCATTATAAAGCAGACTGAGACAAGGCGAGAGTGAATAGGCATTATTTAGGTGTACATGCTCCATCGTCCACTTCATCATCATTTACTTTGATAAAAAAAAGACTCGGCGTTTACGTGATCATAGGAATAATATTGACTGGGTCTGAGTCACTTCCCACACATTTTGATGTAAACGGGGCCTTAGCATGATAAAGGTTTACTAAAACTGTACTAATTAGTATATAATAACTATAAGTAGGTATCTATACTCACTCTGACAAGTTGTGATGGGCGGCATACGAAACCCGCCCAGTGGGTCCGGTGGAAACGGGAACGGTCGCTGGCCAAACGCGAAGTGGAACTGCTGCTGCTGCCCTAGGAGAGACAACACTACATCAGTACGATACAGGCTGCCCTTGCCAACGAACATTGTCGTGCAAATAAATCACAGTTTCTATATTGTTAGTAGGGAAAAGGTAAAAGGGAAAAGTCTCCCACGAGATGGTGGATGATGACGAGTAGAGAAATTATACATCATAGGAAATGTCAATGAAAGAATGAAAGAAGAAACGTTTATTCATTAAACTGAGTCACTATACACATTTAAATTTAATTAGTTAAGATTAAAACAACACGTGACTGAGTAATTTTTGGTTAGAAAGAGAAAAAGGTCACGAGTCCGCAAACTTAAGTCCTCAAACTTGTGCTCAATTTGCTATTGTCGTGACTAATTATCTCGCGATAGTTTTTATGATAAGTGTCTTTATGATGTTGATATGTTTGTAAATTCCTTAAATACATTTAAGAGAAAAGTGGGAGAACTGACCTTCTAGTGGTTCTAATGAATATTTTTATTATTATCTTTGTGTCTGTAATGTGAATATTAACAAAATTTATTAAAGATGTAAAGTTTAAAGAAAGGCTGTAACAATATAAAGGTAAATGTAAAAAAACATATATAACAGTATAAAACACTCCCTATACTTTATTATTAAGGCACTTATCCCTAAATGGGCCGAGAAACTGAATTACAGAAATAGATACATGAAGGGTGTAGACTTATAAATTATTACACATGATTAGCTTATTAACAGCTCTGACTGTTGTGGCGGTCGAGCTGGGAGTGACCATGGTACGAAAACAAAATGAGAAAGTGAAGGAAGATGGAACAATTCAAATTTAAAATTTAAATACAAGTAAAATAAAAAAAATTATAAGATACAAGAGGAGTGAGGCGATACAAAGAGGAGAGATGACGGTGTAAGGAGGTCACACCGTCACATACTCACACCCTAGTTCCACTGGAAGGGTAGGCAGAGACCACGGAACGCCACTTTACTCTATCCTGACACAACTCGCGAGCCTCACATGCACCAACTACCCTTTTCATACAACATCTTTTATTCTTGTCACTTTGAATTTGCCTTTTTGAGGACGTCACCGATCTAGTCAATGTCAGTCCTTCTGGGACATCCTTTCCATCCACATTCGCATCATATATCTGTTTGGTAATACTTCTTACATCCATCCGCTCTACATGCCCAAACCACCTCAACATTCCTTTCTATATTCTAGTTACTACATCCTCTTTCATGCCACATCTTTCATATATTATAGAATCTACAGTTTCACTGTTATGCGTAATCGATCAAAACCATTTGGGTATCTTGTCATTGGCAACCAGAATGTAATGATTAGAATTTAGATTCCTAGTTAAATTGTAAAACTTCTGTTAAACTAATTTTTCTTATGAGTAATAGGCCAGCACAATCGGGACGTTAGAGGGATTCTTACTTAAAAAGTACCACCTATTTTACACTTGACTTAAAAAATCCAATTAGAAAACTGAATTTTATTTACATTTCTATTACAAGCAGAAAGCTGTGAATAAAAAAAACAATAAACGCCACCATTACACGTTGCAATATACGGATAGATTAAGTTTAAAATTCGCTTTAAAATTCTAAGAATAGCAACTTCGCTTCAAGCGAACTCCGAAACACTTTGATTGAAGTTTAAAGTTCGGCTTCTTTGTCTGCATTAATGCGCATCGTTTAAAGTCTACGTGTCGACTTATCTAGGTTTTTGCCGTTCAGTTTTTGCCGTCAGTTTTTCCAAAAGTTTCTTTGACTGCAACTAAAAATCTACAATATGTTATCAAGGTGTATGTATGTATATCAATGATGTAAATAATATGAAACAATTGGCTTGAATTCATTTAAAAACCAATTCGCATCCGTGGTGTAATAAAGCTACATCTGCAAAAGACAACTTTTCAGGAAAGTTGTGCCCCACTATTGAGCAAAGATCGCCGCCCTCTTTTTCCATTAGTCACAGTCTTGGGTTACATCTGGCCGGTAGGGGTTGCACGATAGGGCGCGACTAGCGCGAGAGCGACATAAAGCGCGAGATACTGCTATTCACCTAATCGAGCTAGCCCTATAGTTCTTTACAAAGGTCTCTAAATCATGCGACGATAGCCAACTTCTTGTTCTTTTTATCACATTTGAAATATTTTTAAAAGCCACTTCTTAAAAAAATATAAGTCGCGAGAATTGTACAATGTGTATGACGCAGCTACACGTGCCCACAAACGTGAAATAAAGTAAGAACAAGGAACGAATGTCACAATTACGTACCCATGTTATAATAAAGAGTCATGTGATCATATGTCTAAAGTGCTTTTATCACATATAATAGTCATAAAAATAATACGAACTACTTATATGAAATAAATTACGTAGAGTGAAAACCTCGCATATGCCTTTTCACATAGTTTTATGCTGATTTTTGTTACAGAAAAACTTATAAACTTCTTGCTCAAATATGTTATTAAAGTAATCTATAGTACCGGCACGCTATGATGGCGGTTTTGGCGTTTGTCCGTTCATCAAGTTTCGTATTAATTCATAACTACGTTGAAGGAGCTAATTGATGTTCGTTGTTGTCAATGGCGACGTGACGTGACGAATGTATGGATGTCTAATTTTACGACACAACTCGGCATTTGTTTTTCGAAATTTAAAAAAATGAAATCTAATACGATCGTCACTTATAGGATCGATGTCCAACACAACTACCTCCGGCAAACTCGCGTCAAAGCTCAATGCAAAACAAAGCAGTTTCGAATTGACGATATATTAAGTACGTAAACATTTTTATTTTCGTTTTATTAAAACTTTTTAATCAGCTACCACTTGCAAATATATAAACCTACAAACTTATACATGCGACTCCGCATTTGATTATATATTTTTCGATAATGAATTGAGATTTCACCTCACTACTGTAATCTGTCAAAACGGCCATCATAGCGTGCCGGTACTGTAATACCGAAAGGTGTACAATATAAGTAATTGAAATGGTAACTACAAACATTATTACGTTTACTACATTTTACACATTGACTTACAAATAAATGGACGACGGGTCTAATACAAAAACCACGAAAAAAATGTCCCAAGTCAACCTATTCGAAATTTAAATTATAATGTCATCGCAGTATCGCGCTGTCCGTAGAACAAATGAAGACTAAAGCGGAGTGTCGCGCTCTGTATACGATTTTAGCGCCTTAAAAGTGCGGACACTTTTTAGCGCGGACCCGACGTCCATATAATTGTAAGTCAATGATTTTACACCACATTTTTGTCTTCGTTCTGAAAAATTACATGGAAATCACATACGAGTTTTTCACTCTAAGACGAAGTGAAATGTTATAACTCTCCCATTTAAGCATAAAAAGGTTAATTTCGTTCATGGAATCTTTAAGCTTTCTCTTGAAAAGTTATCATTTTGCAGATGTTAACCTTATGCGATTATAGTTCTTGATATCTTAACAAGTTTACAATTGATCCCGTATATTACGTACCTATCTATATTTGTGTTGGATAGTGATTACGTACAAGTCCCTAAGGGAACATTTCCGAGCAAATACCGTTAGACGATATCACGACACGTTGCGATGTGTCGGGGGGTATCCGAGACACTCGATAATTCATCGACACTCGGCCGACACTCCTGACACTCTGAGAGCACGTGTACGTATTTGTGAGGCGCGAAACGGTTTTATTAAGTTCCACTTGCCGAAGAGCCCTCTTCATGGGGACTTTGTGATATGAGAATGTATCAATATAGAGACTGTGAAGATCCCCGATATTGTGGTTTTAGTGCGACTACTTAAAATCTTTTTAGTGTAATTCGTAAGGGATACAAGTTCCTCAATATAGCGTAATACTGTGAGGGTATCAACGTGAAGTTTTTCGTTTTTAGTTTTTGTTACTTTGGTTATGATACTAATTTATATGTGGAGGGAAACATAGGGAAAGGTCTACCCCAGTATTATTTCAATCATTTAGTTGTTAGTTCTACTATTTAAAATCTTTTTAGTGTAATCCGTAAGAAATAGAAGTTCCTCAATATTGCGTAATACGGTGAGGGTATCAACTTGAAATTTGTCAGTTTTAAGTTTTTGTTACTTTGATTACGACACAACTTTATATATGGAGGGAAACAGGGAAAGGCCGACCCCAGTATTATTTTAATCATGTAGATGTTAGTTCGACTATTTAAAATCTTTGTTAGCATAGTCAGCTTATTATATGTATAATAAGTTCATTGGAGTTCCGCAAGACGGGTAAGGTATCAATCTAAAATTTGTCGATTTTTAGTTTTTGTTATTTGATTACGACACAAATTTATAAGTGGGGAAAAATGTAAGGAAATGTCAACCCCGGCATACATATTTCAATCATATAGCTGCTAATGCGACTACCTAAAATCTTTTTTAGTGTAGTCAGTAGGAAAAATCAGGTCATAAAAATTTCACAAGACAGTGAAAGTATTTTTTTTTTGTTACTTTGATCACGGTACAAATTTAATGTGGAGGAAAAATTTGACTTTAGAATACATATCTAGATCATGTAGTTGATATCCCTTAAAAAGGCTAGATTATAAATACCAAGTAGAGACGGGCGTAGGTATGTGAAAAGACTCATGTAGTGCAAGTTGAAGCAGTCAGAAGCATAGGAAACATATTAGACAACATTACATACGTGGCTCTGATCGCAAAGTAAGTAACTAGAGCACTTATGCCATGGAAATCGAAAACAATGACGGTACCACAAACACTCAAACCCGATACAGTACAGAAAAGTTGTTTTTTTTACACCAATGGCGTTATTGAGAACCAGTGTAGGTACATGTCACTTGACTACGGAGGTCGTCATATAGCAGATCCGCAGTCTCTGCCTTTCCTAGTCAAAATGTTGTATTTAGCTTATACATATATACAAAAACAGTTAGTTAGTTAGTAGAGTTACATAAAATGTCAAGTTGCAGAACGCAATTCTTGGTCGGCACTTCTGGTCACTCTTCTCCAAAGCGGTCTGTCC